AATTTGCATAATTAGTTGATTTTTTTGCTTTTACACTGATATAGCAAGTCCTAATTATTCCATTTCAATGAAAATTGATACATTGATGCTCAAGAACAATGCACAGACCCGCTCAGTTTTGGGTTAAAATCAGATCATATTAATTACCTAATTTACGTAATAAATCATAATATTTGGTTCTCATCATATTTCAATGAAACTTCATACATAGATGGTCTGTGACAGTACTTATTATAATTCAGTGAATCGTAGTACATACGTTCTCTAACACAATGTGATGATCATGTGATGTGATGTTTTAGGTTTATATACCGGGTATATCTATAATAATTACCTAATTTGCATAATTTACTTTTCAGCTTTTAGTTAGGATTAATCATCACATTATAATGAAACTTTGTACATGTGCACCCTGAAACAATACATAGACCTAAATCTATGCATAATAATTGCTTAATTTGTATAATATTTCATTTGGTTCATTGAGGTAATCCACATACATGATTAGTTTGAAGTTGATAAACATGCATATTGATTATCTATTATTAGCCCATTTCTGATATCTAAAAAAATCAGATTTAAATTGAAAACCATTGCAGAGGTGCTCTGGAACTAATTAGTCAAAAAACCATGGATGAAAAATCAAATGTATTTTCTGTATGTATTATAAATTTAATAATGTGAATCACATTTTTTCACGTTCTGCATCTGAAATAGCAGACAAAAATTAGTTGCCAAGCTTCTTGTTTGAAAAGCAAATGTTAAATTTTGAAATAATTTTAATGTGTCTCCAATACTCTCAGCACACGTGAGTTCTTTCTAAGCTTTCTTATCATGGATGGAAATTGCTCATTTTGGCAGGAATATTTCTAGTATTAACATCTTCACAGTTAAGCGTTTACAGTGATTGAAAATACATGTATATTGTTCTGGTGGTATCAAAAGGGTGTAGTGTAACATCCAGAGAATCAATACTTGTGCAGTCAGTCACTGGTAGCATAGTGGTTGTCGCATCAGACTCATGACTCAAATCCTACCTTAGGCTGAACATCAAAAGGATCGATCCCCTACCCTGGGTGAATGTGCCACAGAAGGGAATGGGAATGGGAAGGCCAATTCCACTGGCCGAGATTCATTCACAAAGAATGCAACTTTGGGGGAACCTTGGTTAAGATCCGCAGGTGCTTGTGTTTGACCGTGCCTGGTTGACGCCAGGATAGCGCATTAAATTGCCAATTGATAGGAAGATGGCCGCACAGCCCTATCATGTAGTCCTAAACATGAATATGACTTCTGTGGAAAAATGCACTATGTGTCAGCACTTGCACTTGCAATTTACACATACAAAAAAGTCAGGAGAGACAACAGTGATATTCAAAGTCTGGAACTGTCGCCTGGCACAAAAACATTTAAAAAAAAAAAATACTTGCGCAGTGGCTTATTTCAAATACATGTTTCAAATCACATAATCTCAACTGGACTCCCTAAGTCAGTGGTGCATATGATTATCTTCAAACCAATGAGATGACAGGTTGTCTAGCAACATAGTCAAGGTACATTTTTCTGAGTAAAACTGTTTGAAAACTATGTGAAAAGTAACCAGGGCTATTTTTTTTATATTAACAGCACCAATGCAATATGAAAATTATTATTTGCCTAAAATTAATTCCAAAAGTGCTGGTAGAGTTGGATCTATAATGAAAACCCAGACATCAATTGGAAGGAGGCCACAGGAGCCACTACCATCATCCGTTGTCTCAACACTTCGAGGAACGTCTACTGTAGCTACAAGAGGGCCTCCACCCTTACCTGTGCAAAATAACTCAATGGATTTTGAAGGTGTGTCTAATAATATCAAATTCAATGATTAATTATAATCTAATCATAATCATGATATGTAACACAAGATTTGATTGGTTAATGATAATTGTCATGGCAGTAACACCATCTCTGATTGCTCATTAAAAAATATAACACACTATCTGCTTAGTCAATGGTATTGTTTATGGCTGTATTCCTAATTGTTTTTTGAACATGGCTGCTATGTAACACAATATCTGATTGGTCAATAGTAATTGTCATGGCAGTAACAGTATCTCAATTTGCTCATCGAAAATGACTTCTATGTAACACAATAGCTGATTGGTCAATGATAATTGTCATTGCTGTAACAGTATCTCAATTTGCTCATCGAAAATGACTTCTATGTAACACAATAGCTGTCATGGCTGTTACACAATCTCTAACTGTTTATTATAAATAGCATGCAACACATTATCTGATTGGTCAATAGTAATGTTCATGGTTGTTACACAATCTCCTATTGCTTTTTTTAGAAATGGCATGTAACACAGTATCTGATTAGTCATTATAAAATATAGTGATGTAACGTGATTTCTAATTGGTCAATTTCACTCATTTCAGATGATCCAGCCTATGCCTCTGTCTCTGATAAAACAGAAAAATTAGTGAAAGCATTGTATGCATATGAAGCCCAGGTTGGTGACTATTTCTACTGAACTGGATATGTATGAGTGCCTACTAGTCAAATTCCTATGAAATGCTTCTAATCAAATTGTTATGAAATGCCGACTTGTCAAATTTATATTAAATGTCTATTGGCCAAATTTATATCAAATGCCTACTTGTCAAATTTATATTAAATGTCTACTTGT